CACTAATTATTAATTCCTTTAACATTTTAAAAACCTGACTCTTACTTCATATATACTAAAACTGCTGCCATATCTGATAGTTTCCAGCACTTAATATATTATCATAGCAAACTGAATAGCCAAGTAATGAAATGAGCATTCCCTCACCGAACCAACATTCTAAATAAGCATACTTATAAAATAAGAGAAATGAAAGGTACACTGTCACTATCACTTTGACACATGCAATGTCACCATTCCCAATGGTTTCTCCCCTTGCCTTTTCAGCCTTGTCCAATATTCTTTTACAAGGCTGCAAGATGACAGCAATTCTGAAAGTTTTTCTGCATGAACTTGAAAGGAAATTATCTCTCATAACTAAAATAAAGGAAGTGCTAAACTTCCCATCAAATCAGACAAAAGGACATTTAAATAAAATTCTCACTCTAGGAAATTATAATCTATAATATCTAGACTGTTCACAAAATGATTAGCAGAATTGGTCTTTATAGAAAAAAAATGCTTATTAGATTGGGGACTTTCATGCTTACAACTTTATGCTAAAATTTCATCAAATATATTATTTAAAGCAACTTATTCCATTTTTTAAATCTAAGAAAGGTTGCTCTAAAATTCAGATTTCTTCAAATAGTTAACTAAGCACAATTTAAAGCCACATAGCTTATTGAAAGCCAGAGACAAGAGACAATGAGATGCCACCTACTACAGTTATTTTCATGTAGTTATTTTTGCTTACTGTTTTCCTTTTAAGTTTCCATATAAATGCCTATTTCTATGATTAGAAAGAATAAAAGTCTGCAGTTGACACATTCTTCAGACAAAGCAACAGGGTTCAAAGGAACAAAACGAAAAAGGCTAACCAGAAGCCAAAAAAATTTTTATGGGGGCAGAATATGAGACTGCCTTTGGTAAAGCTAGAAAGACGCACTGAGCTATAGATACCCAGATTAATTACATAGGAACTCTTACACATACGTAGATCTTCTGTTTTGGATAAGCCACAGTCAATGTTTAATCCAAACTGGTTCTATTCTTGGAGCTCCAAACAACTTATCTTATTCCATAAATTTGGTGCACAAATATAACAGTATTTATTAAATAAATGTATGTCTGAATGTAAACTCAAAAGTTAACTTTCACTTAAAAAGAGATTTAGGCAAGTAGCCTATTGAAGGGGAGGAGATGGAACAAGAATAGGTTTTGTATTATCCAAATCTCAACCCCTCCTCATTACCCTTTCATCCATCCCCTCCCCTCCACAAATCATTCAGTAAACCTTTACAGAGTGTGAAATCAAGAGCTAGCTCTAATTACAAAGGTGCTAGGAACTCTTTTCAGCAATCTGGTGAAGTATATGGACAACTTTTCAGAATAATGTTTCTAAATGCATAACATAAAATAAATAAAAATAAAAAGGAAATCAATTATACTGACACGATTATTAAAATGTTTAAATTTTTGTGATGTAGTAAATACATCTTTATTAACATTAAACGATACCTAACACTGAGTTTAATAACTATTTCCCAGTAATAATGACTATAATCTCAATCTTGAGATATCTACAACAACAATAATAAATTATCAGTGGATTTATATATTGGTTACAAAGTAACTCATACTGTTAATACTGCTTTGTGTTGCCTGCTTCCATAATGGGAACAGGCAATGATTAATGTGTTACAGCTTAGGGAAAAGATGTAATTTTTTTCCCCATCCAAGTTCAGGGACCCTGAAACAGCCCAATTCATCTCTGGCTGTGATCAAAGTAAAAAAACTGAGAAACAAAGCTCAGTCAAAACGACTTTACGATACTAGGAAAATTTATGAGCTAATTTAACTTCAATAAATTCTTCAATTCCTTTGGCCTGCATTAAAAAAAAATTCTTACAACATGATAAAGAAAAAAAATCCAGTTGTAGAAAACTACAGAAGTACATTAAACTTCAATCAAGAACTTTTAAAATGAATACTTTTGTAAAATGTAGGTATTTATATTCTTCTGTTGAAAGTAAAAGTGACTCCCTAAATGACCAACACAGAGAGACATATGCACAGAGCTGCACACAGGAAAGTTTATACCATTAAGCTCCAGTTCTCGTTATTTAAATACTGTGAATAGTTTTGTAGAAACAGTAGGTGTATCGTTTATAAGGACTTCACAACTAGACTGCCATCAATTCCATGTTTTACTCGATTGAAATGCACTGCTAGGATTCTATTCACCAAAGCTGTAACAATGAAGGGGGATGGAGGGTGATTAATTTCCCAGTCAGTCATGCAGATAGAATAGAAACTTGTTTCTATAGCTAAAACCAAGCTATATTTTGTCTACTATAAGGTGTTAACTTTAAACATATTTAAAGGACTTGAAATGTCAGTTTCACAAACATTAAGCCTTAAATAGCACCAAAAAAAACTCGTTTCTTCCAAAAGGATACTTAACATTCTAAATCTACATAACATCTCAAAATTATACTTTGAAATTAATATAATTATAGAGGAAAAGAAGACACCTGATAAAAGGAGGCTGAATCCCGGGATAATGGATATGCTCTGAACACCAAAGGATTTTATTTCTGTGCACTTGTTTCAATCACAATGTAATGACCAAATCTTTTAGCTATTTACATCGATTTTGCTTTATCCTTTCTTAACTAAGAATTCTATCTCAGTATTTCAACTGTTTGTTGAACACATACTCTGAGAAAGGCAATATACGAGGCTCTGCAGTATGCACAAAGACCTGTCCTGTTGTTACAGGACAGTACTGAAAGGCCCATCATTAAAGTTCATTCTGTTTTCAATAAAAGAACATAACCTGATTCTTAATACAATGTCTCTCCCACTTGTCTCTGAGGCGCTCTCACCGTCCAAGTTTTCCATCTCCAAGCTACTGAAATAGCCTCCTAACCAGAATCTCTGTCTTTTCCTATTCTGAGTCACCAGATGCCTTTTCTAAAAACACATCTCAACAAGCTACTTCTCTTTCTCAAAATCCTTCAACAGCTCATCTCTGCATTAAGAATAAAACTCAAAAGCATTAGTGTGGTTAAGTCATTCTAAATTACCTGCTGTTCTCAAAACATTCTTCCACCCACTTGTATCTCTTCAAGTTGTTCTTCTACCCACAATGTTCTCTGTCTAGCCTAAAACTCTTCTTCTTGCTAAAGTACGAAATATCCTTCATAGCCCTATGTCATAAAAATTTCCAGTCCTAAGTATGAGTCAGGGAACTGACAAAGAAGGAAATATCCTCTACAATTGTAATTTAGTCTCCGTGTAGATTTTCTAATAAGCTCATCCTGCCTCTCTCTGCCTTTGTGTCAGTTACCTTTCTGACTGTAAATATGCAGAAGCACACAACTGTTTCTTTTGATTATGTAAACAGGGCATGTCAAATTTGTCAGTTCAAGCTTTTGGCCTTTTGAAGCTAAGGGCCAGATCCCAAATCACTGTAACTCCCACCAAATACCCTGAAGGACTTATATCGTGCTTCTCTTCTAACTTCAACACCAGAATCAGCTGGCTTCTCAATAAGGTTTTTGATCCAACAGAATGCACTGGCATCCCTTTAATAAGGTGGGTTTGGGGAAAATGACTAAAACTTGAGCATCTTAGACATTTCTATGCAGGAGAAAGTGGGACATGACGAGATTTTATAATCAGTTTATAAAGTTCAAATGAATCGTCACTCATTTAGTTCAACAATATACCAAACGAAATCAAGAAAAGTTAAGCATTTTCATCCATGTCACCAAGCTGCAAAGCTAAAGCCAGAACTTAACTTTCCTGATTTCCTAAACTAAGTACTACATCTTCCAAAATGTTTGACTTCTATCTAGAGACATACATAAAATGTTTCCATTTATTGTTTCAAATTAGAAAATTTAGGAGGCCTAAAAGGAGCCACTCATAAATTATGTGATCATTTACTTTTCTAAAATTAATTCTAAGCAGGCAATACTACACAAAAGTAATTAATCTGGTATTTTAATCAGGTCAAAGACTTTGTATCATATAAATTTAAAATATACACCACCTACATTTAATACTGGGATATCTAGGATTAGCAGGCTGAATAACAATGGGAAATGGGAAATGCTCAGACTATCAACATTTGAAGTAGTAATAATAATAGCTAGCAATTATTAAAGGCAGATTTTATTGAACATATGTGAGTATCAAGCTAAGCACTTTACATTTTTTTCATTTTGATCTTCACAGTAACTTTATAAAGCACAGTTCTTATGAAAGATGAGGAAGCTGAGATCTAGAGTTTAAGTAACTTGTCCAAGATTACAAAAGTAGTAAATTACACTATCTACCTAGATTTATGATTTCAAAAGCCACATACCTAACTTCTAAGCTGTTTCCTGTTAAGATTACCTTTATTATTTTCATTTTGAGAGTAAAATTTCTTTGTAAAAAAAATTCCCAACTAATGAAATTAACTTACTCAGCCTAGTGAATAAATTACAACTTGCATTTGAAGAACGCTATCCTACTTGAGTTTATAAATTGGCTACCATCTTGATGTTAAAATATGTCTGTACGTTGACTTAGTCATTTATAATAAATGTTTCAAAAATACATTTCACAAATACATTTTTAACCAGTTTTCACAAATTTTCAACCAGAAATTAGAAATAAGTATTATACACCGAAGAAATTAAAAACTTCAAATACCACATTTTCAGTGGCACAAGATCTGCTTCACGTAGCTAAAGTTACCACTTTTCTTCCTTTTTGGTAATTTTAATATTGAGCATCTTGAGGATGAAACAGTATTTGCAAATCATTACTTAGCTTTGGGTACTTGACAGAATGCTTTATTCAATAACTACACACTAACCGAAGTTTCTTCACTCATCGTATACTTAATCTAAGATTACTCTCTTTTACAAACATTACTATACTAAAAATCATTAGCACTAATCGTCGAGAATTTGTGAAAATTTATTCAACAGTTCATCTGTTACAAAAGTCTGTTAACCTACCTGTCACTGCTGGTACTACTGCTGCTGCTGATTGAATCACTACTGGAGGATCTACTCCTAGAGCCGCTGCCGCTAGGGGACCTTGTGGGTCTAGACGCTTGGCTAGCCAGCCTCTGAGGAGACTGATTTCTAGACTGGGATGAATGTGGTGACCGACTCCTGCTGTGCTGGTAATTCCGCTCTGGCCTTCTGCCTCGTACCTCCCGGGTAATATCATCCCTGTAGATATCCCTGTGTACCACACTGGGCAGTGTAAACTGCTCCCGAGCCCTAGGTTCGTATCGGGGGTCATGAACATCAAAACGGTTTGGACTTCGACTCCGAGAAGTATAATAGAGCCCGTGTTGTAAAGTCCGCTCGCGAGGATCTCTATAGTAATCCTGATCGTAATGTCTTGTCCGATCAAATCCTCCCGTCCCCCGTTCATGGTGTCCATAGGCACTATGTTCATAAGCACGCTCCCTGTTATCTGAAGCCCTGCATTTAGGAGGGGGGAAAAATATTTAATCAATCAGAAAGAGGAAAGCAAAACTAAAAGCAAGTCATGCAAACATTCACTTCAGCATTGTCTTTGTTGTTGCAATTGGTCATTTTATAAACAACATTAATCTACTTAATAAGCGAACACTAACAAGCTTAATATTTTACTTAATTCTAAAACTTATTTTCACAGCTGAGCAATCATTGTTTTAACTGTATATCAGGCTTTCATGACTCGTGTTCTGCAAGTCAGTTGAGTCACTCTTTTATTTAGGAATATTCTGGTTTATATCCAGAAATATACATATGCCATCTCCTTTTCATTTTAAGTTTAATGGAACAAGAAGAGACTGTCATTTTAATATCAAAGTGTTCTATATCTATCTCAATAAAAAATACAGTAAACTTTTATTTAATTTGCAAATTTCTTTAAGGCAAAACTTCCTTGATATATTTTAACAGACATGAAAGCCCTATTATGATGCACATCCCAGCTGTACGAGGGCATTTTCAAAGAAGTCCAGAAAAAAATTTTAAGTGTAATTTTTTTCTCATTAACTTGCAACTTCTTGGGTAATTATAAAAATTACTATCTTACATAAATTGTTGTGCCCAAACAATCACATTTAATAAAAGTGGAATCTTAAAAAGAAAAACAAACCAAAAAAAAAAACACTTAGGATATCAAAATAGTGGATTGTCGCATGCTATTCTATGGTAAATTTAACTAATTAAAGGATAAAGGTATTTTTATCTCCTGTGCTATCAAAGTTCCACATAATTTTTTAAACGCCTATTCCATTATTCAATTTGTTAATGTATTCACTTAACGGTTACAGGAAATATGTTATCTTAGGTTTTAGCTAAACTAAAGTTGTCGATAATAAAATTAGGCAACTTTGGGAACTGTAAGATTCTCTAAGGTTGCTATTCGCTATATGGTTTAACTTAAAATAATTTTTCCACAGGATGTGAATATCTGTCAACCTAAGAGTACAAAAACTGTTGCATGTACAATTACAAACATGCCATGTTTTAGTATTTAAAACTAAGTCTAACCTTATAAAGAAATTTTAAATATTCTACTTCTGTAAAAAACCAGAACTCACTTCCTGAATTCCTATAAAGACCATTTCACTTGAATTTTAACTTAAGGTTGAGTTTTTTCTCAACCTTATCTTTGGATCTGTCTTCTATCAAAAGAGATTAAGGAATCATGAAAGACATAGAAGAATTAGAATCTCTGCAATGAGGAATACCTGGCAAAAATCTTACAATCAATACTATGTTCGCCATACATGCCTAGATTCCAAATCTCTCTAATAATCTTCATTTTCACCCACCATTTCACTTAGTAGCACACATAACTTCATAGGTTATTTTTGTTTTTTGTAGCCATTTTGAAAAGCAACTGGTATGGCAAAAAATTCAACAATAATATCTTTCCTACTTAAATGTATTAAATGACTTTATCTTTTTTTATTCACTACATTTCTGGAATTTTAATAGATATTTCAATATCTAACAAACAAGAGGGTTTCCTTTGAGACTTAAAATTTCATAAATAATTCAATTAGCACCCTATCAAATGTTAATCAGTGAAGGCTGTTATTAATGATAAAACAGAAGCAATAAGCAATAGTTCTAAGAGAATTACTGCTCCGGCAGGCAGATATTTTATAAATTTGCAAAGTTCTTATCTATTAGGAAGATACAGAAAGGCAGGCACAAGAGCTAGCAGAGCTGAAATCTAATATCTATTCTTTGATTCATCTATTAGTACTAAATATTTCTAGAGTTAGTGGGAAAAAGAGAGTTTGACTTGGGTTAGGAGAGGATCTAATATACACAGGTCAGGACATACCAACCTTTTCCAAGTGTGGAAACACGACCTATAATCCCAATTAAATCTAGGGAGAGAATTGTGAACATAACTTCCCCAATTTTGGCCCCTCTTATGGGGGTAATCCACCTTCTTTAATGGGCAAGGGTGTCAAATGATACTTAGATGAACCACAAGGAAAAAAAAAATCTTAGTGACCAGATAAAATAATTCCACTGGAAGCAAGTAGTCCCAGACAAACTGTAACTCTCAAACCCCCAGACTTCTTTCTTGAGATAGCAGACAAATATAAATTGATCCACATTCATAAAAATTTCCAGCCCTAAGTATGAATCAGGCAGCTGACAGAAGAGGAAATATCCTCTACGATTCCACCAAATGAGGGAAGGCACAGTTGCTCGCCAACAGTTCGCCTTTGTAGCCATCCAGCAGTCAATTTTGAATGCTGTATCCACAACTGATCGTTACCATCTGTTCAAAGCTAAAGTATCTTAAATTGGACAGCAACTTGCTTAAGAAAAGAGAGAGTAATCCTCTTCCCCTGGGCTAATGGAATCTTGACTGTATGACATCCCATACATTCCAGCAATTAGAAAAGAATGGCTATATTCCAGGATTTAGGAACGTCCATCATCTCAAATTTTCCCCATTCCATTAAGGAGTATAATTCCAACATGAAAACTGTGTAGATCCAAAATGGAAAAATCAAACATTGCCTTCATTCTTCTTCAGCCAAGAACATATTTCCAGGTTAAAGTATTGTTTGTAGAATCCACGCGGTTGAATCATTATGGTCTGCTAGGTTTTTGTGTGACAATCCAATTCATTTGTACACTTTATGTTGTGAAAATTGAGAAGCAGATATTAACTTCTAAAAGAATCTGTAGGCTCTAATATTCCAGAAATATTCCACATAGTACAACCACAAAATCTGTAGCCAAATAGCTCCATCAGGTATAAGGGATATATCCAAGGAAGGCCTTAACATTATCCAAGAGAAGAAATAATTAATTCTAGAAGACAGGTAACTCCAAAAATGATGCTGCCATACAAAATCTTCCACCACTTTGTATCTCAGGAGTAGGTATCCAACCAGCTGCAGGAAATATCCTCTACGATTCCATAAGATAACAGCCACTGGGATAGAAATCACTTCCGTTTCCAACCCAAAATAGGAAACATTGAGAATGCCCAAAATTTTAAATCCATCTGGGGCCCCTAAATACGAGTTTCTGTTTCTCACCATATCAAATACAAAATACCTGCCTACAGAAACCTTGGAACTTACCCATCAAGTCTCCGCTCATAACGTCCTTCTCGTGCATGAAGTGATGGTGGGGGGCCATAAGCAGGCCCTCCACCACCTCCTCTGAACCCAGAAACCTCTCTACTACGAGATGTTATGGAAACTGTATCATCCAATCCCCGAGCAGCACTCGGAATGGTGCCTGGTTCATTATAATCCGTGCGTAGGTCTCTATCTCCCATTTTGTTGACTGAGTTGTGAGCTTTCTGTGCACTTTTGATGTCCACAAAATCCACAAAGGCAGCCACTCCTCCTTCAGATCCCCTCTTAGGGAGAATTTTGACACTTTCCACGCGGCCATATCTGGAAAAAATAAAGTCAACGTTATTGTTGTACAGCGATAATTTTCCAAAAGTAGTTTTTGAAAATCTGGTTATTTTTAGATAATTTATGTATATATGGGGGAAGGGTTTAAAGTGACACTTAAATGGCTTTTACATTCATATTTTTCTTTCTTGGGGTAAATATTTACAAATGTTTTAACGACATTATTTTATTACTCTCATTTCTTAAATATAATATTTACTAAATTATCTTTTACCTTTCTAGAACACTTAGCTGAAATCAATCTCTCAGAAGTTTTAGGAATTTTTAAATTTAAAAAAAGATACTGAACCCAAGATTGATCAAGATAACTTAGAAATCTTAAAAGATTGTTTTAATTAAAGTAAAAACTGTAACTAAAAGTAGCTATTTTACAAATTTCATTTTAATTCATTAAGTGAAAATGATCTTATTTTTTAAAAAAATGAATGGTTTTAAATACTTACGTGAAGGCAAAATAAAACCAAATGTTTTTTGTGTCCATTTGCAAGTGACAGTCTAATTCTTTTAATGTAATTTTCTGCTATTTAGCTTTCTTTTCCAGAAAGTTAAAAAACTGTTAACATTTATAATTTAAGTATAATTAAAATTGTTTTTCATATAAATTAATAAATCTAAGAATATATTTTAATCAACCATATATTCTAATTTTTATTCCACAAATGTTTACTATGCCTATAAAGAAAAATTTTAGGGCACCTTTTATATTTTTAAGTGTATGTGTTAAGTAAGAAATATGATTATTCAGAATCGAAAAATTCATGAAAATTCTACAAATTTCCTTAAGAGTTAATTATATTTTATGTACTTGCAAATTGTCCTTTCTGAAAGGCGGGCACAGCACTTTTAAATATAGCACTCTTATTTGCTGACAATCCAAGATCATAACTGTACACTTCCCCTGAAGAAGCTGACAACATTATCAGAAAGCAGAACTTTTCTTTTTATATCCTCTGGGACAGTTTAAGTAACCTCTCATGGGATAAAACACAATCATAAAAAATCCAGTTTCAAAAGGCAGCTAAACTAGAAGTAACAAAATTATTTGGGGTCAATGACCTGATAAAAGGATCTTTTTAATTCGGAAAAAAAAAATGACAGAAATTGAAATAGTTCTTTCCACACAAACATTAAAAAATACCTTTCAATGTATTTGACAAAGGACTTATATCTAGAATACAAGAAACCTTACAATTTAACCTTTCTTTTTTTTAACGGGCAAAACAATTCACCAAAGAAGATATACAGATGTCAGATAAAGCACAGGAAAAGATGCTCAAAAATCATTAGTCGGTTAGAGAAATGCAAATCAAAACCATTTCACACTCACATGGATGGCTAGAATTCGAAATTAGAGACCTCGTGCATGGCTGGTGGGTCTGTAAAATAGTATAGCTGCTATAGAAATATTTGGCATATTCTCAAAAAGTTAAGCACAGAATTACCATATAACCCACCAACTCCACTATGTAGGCATATATCCCAAAGAATTGAAAACTGAGGCTCAAACAGACATGTGTAAAACACCAATGTTCATTGCAGCATTATTCATAAATGCCAAAAGATCACCATCAAGCATCCATCAATAGACGAAAGGATAAACAAAGTGTGGTATAAACATACAATGGAATATTAAGATATAACAAGAAATGAAGTTTTGATATACGCTACAACATGGATAAACCTTGAAAACATCATACTAAATTTTAAAAAGCCAGACACAAAAGGACAAACTGTGAATGATTCCACTTATAATAGTTATCTAGAATAGGCAAATTCATAGAGATAGAAAATAGAATAGAGGTTCCAGGGGCTGGGGAAGGGAGACATGGGGAGTTATTGCTTAATGGGTACAGAGTTTCTTTATGGGATGAAAAACATTCTAGAAATAAATAGTGGTGATGGTTATATAACACTGTGGATATACTTAATACCTCTGAGTTATAGATTTAAAAGTGGTTAAAATTTTATAGTATATACATTTTACCATATACATACAAAGCTGAGCACTTAAACCAAGGCTGCATAGGTTTTTCTATTAAAAAAAGAAAGAAAGAAAAAAAGGAAAGCAGCAGCCACATCTCCATTAAAAAAAAAAAAAAAAAAAACAGTTAGCCCAATACTAATATGGGAAAACATATGTTTAAGTCTAAATCCTGAATAACAAAGAGCTAAATGCAATACTGAAAGAGGGCTGACACTCAATGCATTGATTATGCATGCAGAACAAAGTCAAGCAGGCTCCTTCCTCACAAGGGTGGGCTCACTGTCCTTATCATTTTTATATAAGGAGAATACACTTTGGAAACAAAACACAAATTCGTCTCCAAATTTGACAAAGGAAAATCTGATCAGGTATTACAAACCTACATTGCTCTTCTAAACTGAGAAGACTGGAAACTCCCAAATTAAAAAGCCGCCTAATTCTTCATATCCATGGAAACTAAGCTGGTAAATGTAATGTCCTGATTTTGTCTACTCTTTCCAAAATAGCAAATTTCCTACAGTATTCATGTATTTGAAATGAAAGTTACCTGACTTTTCATAAGAAAAAAAGTAAAAATAATCAAATCATAATTAGATAGTTCCTTTTTTAACAACATCAAGTTAGAGGTTTTCAGAGACTCTGTGGAATATTCTCCAGTGATGTGTACAAAATATCAGTTTCTAAAATTACATGGTCACTGGTTGTGGTAATAAGTTAACTCATTTGTAATTTTTTAAAAGTTAAAAAAGAAAAAAGAACATAAAGCTAAAAAATTGTGCTTGATTGCTAGCTACAAGCCACAGTAATATAAAAACCTTAAAGGTCTATCTTCAAAAACACAATTAAAAAAAAAACTAAATTGGTTTGTTTGGTCAAAAATTACCATCAAAAAATATTAAATTGATCAACGTACACTGTATTCTTCTAAATATTTAAGGGAAAAAATTTAAATTGCCCCAAATAATGCCAGGTTTGCTGAAATGTTTGAGCGCTTTTCCGCATTTCATAATTTGTGCAATAAGCACTGACTGTCCTTAGAAGTTCCCTGAAGAATGCAATTTCAATGTGTTAATGGTCTCAGATTTACGTTTGAGAACAATGTGATATAGTGGAGGAAAAGCATGAGAGTAGAAAAAAATGACTTATTATTAGAGACTCAATTATTCATTATTTTTTAACAGGCATTGTTCTAGACATGTGATGCACATAGGAAAGCAAAACAAAGATCCCTACTCTCATAAACTTTATTTACAATTTTTAATTTCCTGATAGTTGAAAAGATTCCTATTTTAAACATAACTCATAGAAATCACTCCAAAGTAAGGCTAAAGACCATAAGTATGCTAAAACCCAGTGAATTTTCTCAAAATCTCTCCTTTCCAGAAAGCACTACATTCAACCATTATTAGCTGAGTTATCAAAAACAAATGCAATCATTAATTTTAATCCTAGCTTTTGCAACTGACTATACTAATAAGCAATAATATAAACAACAGCCACATACTTCGTTGGCACCCAAGTCCTCCCACCACTACAGAAAACGTTCCCCAAGTCATTCTTGAAACATGACAGTAGGTCTACCACTCCACTGATGGGATAATACATTCAAATTCTGCACTTACTCCTCCTCTGCCCAATTAACTCCTAGAGTTAAAAGATCACAGCTGATTACTAACATTACTGCTCTATTTCCAGGTAAAGAGATCTCTTCTGAAGTTTCAATGTCCTGCTATTCCAGGTAGAGTTTTTTGAATTGTAAATTTCAGTCTTAGAAGAGGCAGGCAATTAACCTAGACATCCATTCATCTAAAACCCAATATATCACTTTCCAAAGAGTACATATTTTATAAAACTACCGATGCTTTCATGTATTGCTCACTTTTCTTCTCTTCCATCCCATCAATAGCCAAGCTATTCCTTATTAAAAAGCAAATGATCAATAAGTATGGATAGACAGAAAGCAAAGAGCAAATGAACATGCCATAAGAAATAAAAAGGCCAAGAAATAAATATTAAAGCTTGGTTGCCCTGCCTACAATAGTAGAGAAAACAAATGTTTTTGTTTGTTTTGTATATTATAAAAAGATTCAAAATCATTTCTCTTTTGAACTCATGTAGCTGGGTTATAAATATATCCATTACAACCACCAAACTATCTGGAATAATGCAGTAATATCTATATTATATTAACTTTTTATAGCAAAAAATTTTTATAAAGGAATTACTAACTTATGAATCAACTCACTTGATCTTATATTTAGACAAAAAGACTAGTTCCTCTTCTGTATCGGATCTTTATTTTATTTCTTATACCAGTGACTGGAAATAACTATAGTATGTTAAAAGGCAAAATCATATACTTAAGATTGCAAAATTCTTGCAATCTGGACATAATCAAATAAGATGCCAATATTTGTCATATGTCATATGTCTCATTACATTAAAAATGTTAAAACCAAAGAAAAACTTCAGTTTTAACAAACAAAAATTAAAACTGTTAGCATGACAATGATAAATTAAGTGAATGGTATTATTCTATCCAAAGACAAATATCAAAAATTGATATAAACCCATAGAAAATGGGGAGAAAATATTTGCAAATTATATATTTCATAAGGAACTCTTACAACAATGAACAAGATGTAATGCAATTTAAAAATGAGCAAAGAGTATAAGTACACATTTCTCCAAAAAGGACATACAAATGGCCAATACGCATATGAAATTCTGCTCAACAATTAGTCTTTAGAGAAATAGAAACCAAAACCGCAATGAGGTACCACTTCACACCCATTAGGATGGCTAAAA